CTTACTCTTCTCACCAATAAGGTCAACATGTGCTAGAAACCAAGCATGGCACAAGGGCTCTGTACGAAGATCAGAGATGGTGCGTTGCGTGATTTTGTCTCAGACCTAAGGCGTAGCCTGACAGATGTCCTGTTCGCGGCAAAGCCTAAGGGCTTACCGTCGGCCCTAGCTCTAGCGCAAGAGGTAGAGGAAAACCATGAGAGGTACGTATTTGCCGCTAGCTTCGCTCAAGGGCAAGAAGATAGGGAACGAAAAGTGACCCCGAGGCCGCAGGTCCGTCAGCAAGATAAGGGTCAACAGCTGGGGGATCCGCAACCCAGCGGTTCCAAAAATCCTCGCTTCAAAAAACACCAGAAACAGCAATAAAGTCAATTTGAGCAACAGAGTGGCAGGTGTGTTCTACAACAACTGTAGGCACCAGCCTACTTTAACTCTTGCGGTCCTCAAGCCTACAAAAGTACGGCCACGTCTGGGCGCTTAAGCGGACAGAGGAGGCGGATAGTCAATCACACAGCTCACGAGCTTGACTAAGATTCAGGTTCGTATGCTAGCTCTGCAGCAGCAGCAGAACAGCAAATTGCCGACGACAATGGTAGCGGGTATGATTCAGACACTCTCAATTTTTTAGGGGAAGCTCCCTGCTGCCGTACATCAGTAGTAGCAATGATCCAGATGAGATTTCTCATCGACACGGGCGCTTCCAAGATATTTATCAGGTCATATAAAATCTAAAATGTGTGTGCCCAGTAAATTCTTCCTTCTCTACCCATTCTATACACGGCACCACAAAGATCACTCATAAGTGCCTCCTTATATCTCTGTGCGACAAAACTGCCAAATTTTTCTTACTCCCAGACCTATCCACATTTGATGGAATTGTGGGGCTCGCCTTGCTCACGCAAGCAGAAGTGTCGCTTTGTCTTTCTTCTGGCCAACTCAAATGTGGCGCAAAAACTGAACAAATCGAATTCCACAGGTGTGCGGATTTTTACTTTACCAATTTTGACTGCGCCGACGCGCCCGATGCTGCAAAATATGCATTCCTAAAGATGCTAAAAAGCAAACATAAGGCTTTCGCGGATCCGGAAGAAGCACTTCCATATAACACATCAGTGGTGGCCACTATCAAGACCACTGATGAACAACCAGTGTCGGACATAACAGTACCCCTATCCCATGGGAGCAGCGGAATTCATTAATAAAGAGATTCAAAGCCTTCTGAAGAACGGTATCTTAAAAAAATCTGTTTGCTCCTACAAAAACCCCATTTGGGTGATGAACAAGAAGGGGACGGACGAGTTTGGTGACAAGAATATGCGTCTCGTAATGGATTTTCGCAAGCTTAACGAGAAAACCATCGCAAACAGATACCCTATGCCTAACATTCCAATGATTTTGGGGAATCTTGGCAAAGCTAAATACTTTTCGACATTGGCTATCACCAGATCACGCTAGCAGAGCGTGACCGTGAAAAAACAGCCTTTGCAGTTAACTTGGGGAAGTACGAATTTCGTCGACTTTCCTTTGGGTTGAAGAATGCGGCCAGTATCTTCCAAAGAACTGTTGACGTCGTACTGCGTGAGCAATTTGGCAAATCTTGCTATGTCTATGTTGACGATGTCATCGTCTTCTCAAAAGATGAAAATTCTCATGTCCAACATTTAGAGTGGGTCCTAAAGAGGCAATTATGAGAATCTCCAAGGAAAAATCGTGTTTTTCTAAGAAAAGCGTAGGTTTTCTTGGTTTCGTGATAACTAGTAATGGAGCAACAACGCACCCTGAAAAAGTCAACGCAATTCAGGAGTTCCCAGTACCAAAGAATATATTCGAGATCAGATCATTTTTAGGACTGGCCAGTTACTATAGGTGTTTCATCAAAGGTTTTGCCTCAATAGCAAAACCCATTTCTGATCTTCTCAAGGGCGAGGATGGGTCAGTAAGTAAACATAGATGGCGAAACATCCCGGCTGAATTCTCTGAGCTACAGCGCCACGCATTCCAAAAGCTTCGCAGCATTTTGTCATTAGAAAACGTCATGGTCAGATACCCTGACTTTAAGACACCGTTTGATCTAACGCTTCAGCTTACGGCATAGGGGCAGTGCTTTCTCAAGAGGGCCATCTCAATGATTTCCAGAACATTGAAACCCCCTATATGGGGTACCTATATGGGGTAAACGACATTAACATTTTCACGGACCACCAACAGTTAACTTTTGCCATTTCTGAGTCAAACCCGAACGCCAAAATTAAAAGATGGATGACGCGCATTGAGGAAACGAATGCGCGAATATTTTATAAGCCAGGCAAGGAGAATTTAGTCGCTGATGCGCTATCGCAACAAAAGCTCAATGCTCTTGACGAGCTGAATACTAATTCCTGCGCAGCCACAGTCCACAGCGAGCTGTCCTTGACCTATACAATTGAGTCAACCAAAAAATTGTTTCCAAAATCAAATGTTCATTGAACAGGCACGCGTCCCCAACAAACGCTACTTCATTCTTTTCGGAGAGAGGCGTCGTGAAGTGACCTTCGCTGATCGCACAGCTTTTCTAGATAAACTCCTTGACTTGATTAATCCAAATGCGGTTAATGACCTCTATTGTAACCTGCATACATTATCACAGTTGAGCGTGGCTTAGTTCGCATATTTCCAGGCACAAAGTTCTGGCACTGCAAAAACCGAGTTGCAGATGTCTTCAACGTTGAAGAGAGGAGAGAAATTCTCGTTGCCGAACATACTAGAGCGCATAGAGCAGCTCAAGCAAATGTTAAGCAAGTGTTATCAGAATACTATTTCCCTAAAATGGCTAAGTTGGCTAAAGAAATTGCGGAAAGTTGTAGAATCTGCTAATCAGTCAAATACGATAGGCACCAGAAAAGACAGGAGCTGGTAGAAACTTCGATCCATGAGACTCCTGGGGAATTTCTACACATTGATATATTTCCCACGGACAAACAATTTTTTTTGTCCTGTGTTGATAAGTTCTCTAAATTTGCAGTCGCACAACCAATTCAGTCACGCACTATCGGGGACTTAAAAGCTACACTTCTGCAGCACATGAATTTCTTTCCACGAGCCGGAAAAAGAGATATGGACCACCGCAAACGTTGAGAAATGTCTACGCAAGTGAGGAAGAAGTTTTTGTCTGTGAAAAAATATCAATTTGTAACATTTCTCCCGTTAGTTGGGAGACTGACGTCTGGCCGAGCTCATTTTTCGGGTGTCTGTTGTACTTTGATTTTGTGCAAACTTTACAATTTAAGACAACTTCGTTAGAAAATTTAATGTTATTTTGGGAAAATAGTATTCCGACACGACCTGTTTCACAAGTCCCTTAGTAACTCGTATTGGAAACTAGCCAAAGCTGGAAGACAACATTTAAATGCATTAACCACGTTTGGGTTAATGACGATGTTTGGTCAAGTAACCATCAGAGACAACACCGACTGCGTGCAGTAACAGCAGAAGACAACATTCATACTTGCAAACTAGAGCAAATATTGTTTGGGAGCTGTTTGTAAGCTGCTGCCCATTCTATTTCGTAGGCTCTTTGCCTTCTGCACGAATGACCGCTGCCCACCGTTTTGAGCGCAGCTCCATTTCGTTACAAGTCATTAGTTTTTCATTTGATCGCAACCGAGGCACAACTATTTCGAGTTGGCAAACAATATTAACAATAATTGCTAATAAGTGTAAGTCGAAACAAAGAATATTGTTCATTTGATTGCAAAAAGGCTTGCAACTACAAGTTAACAGAGCCCTAGTACACCAGCTCCAGATGCTGATATAGCACTGTGCCGAATGTTCTAACGAGTTAACAGGGGTCAGCAAAATGCAATTTAACACCAGCCACAGATGCTGACATAGCTCTGCGCCGGATGTTCTTGCACGAGGGAAGCGCATGAGCCGCAAGCGGCCGTTGTGAAAAGCACACAATAGCTTAGGTAATGTTGATCAATCTTTTGTAAATTTAGTTTTAATCCGGCTTTTATTGAGGCACATCTCAGCGACTTTGCGCATAAATTTAGCGTATCGGCCTAGTGTTTTACAAATAATAAAATAATCAAAATAAGGTCTTATAACGAAAATCCGCGAGGACTACTTATTTAAATTTTAATTTGCGCCAAACGTTTTTCGCTTTTTGTGCTATAATTATATTGTGTGCGGTGCAGTGTAAAGAACTAATCTACCTGTACAACACACTTCGCGTTGTGTAATAGCAATACCCAACCTACCAGTGCAAGCAAAAAAGCTGTGCCTGACCTATTCTATTTACAGCACAAGCCCAACAAAAAGGCATTTGATAGCGACTTGTCACCAAACAAGCGGGTTTGGGCAGCGAAGTAAGCCAACACCCATAGACTTCAGCGAGGGATCATAAGAAAGCATTCACGTCTGCAGCGTGGGAAGCAGTAGTTTTTAGACGTAGAGCATACTGCCCTTGTAGGATCAAAAAAATGTAAGTGGCCCATCATTTGGCACAAACTTTTTTCAATATGATTGATTTATTTCAAATAAAATCCAAAGTCTGAAATATAAAAAATTGCAGTAATTGTGCTACCAACTAATTTTGAGTAACACAATTTTGCATCCATCAGCAATTTTCAATAAACTCTCCTAATTCAGCATTCATTTAATTTATTGTTGTTGATTTGCCCTTGAAATTGTGTTGTTATTATTGTTGACAGTATAGTGCATGAACAGCTCGTTTCTCAGGTACAGAGACAGCTCTGCGAGGGGATTTGAGTAAAACGACTTCAACCCCTTAAATAGGGAAGCCGTCCCGCAAGAAATCGGTGACAACAGGTGTAAAATGGAAATGGAGCCTTAGCAGCCTAGGGCTTTGGTGCAGGCCGGAGTGGCCTCCGCCTTTGAAGCCGAAAGCGCAGTATTGAAGCAAAGAGATGTAGAACTGAGGGATTCCTTAAACGCTTGGATACAAGAATTGAGAGGCAGAATATCTGCCAGTAGTATAGAAACACAGTAGTATAGAAACCACCGTCCAGGCATTTGAGCCGGTGGAAATCAGAAAGGACGTCGAATGTAATGAACCGTTGGACGCCGTTAAATGCTTACCATCTCAATGATTTCCAGAACATTGAAACCCCCTATATGGGGTACCTATATGGGGTAAACGACATTTACATTTTCACGGACCACCAACAGTTAACTTTTGCCATTTCTGAGTCAAACCCGAACGCCAAAATTAAAAGATGGATGACGCGCATTGAGGAAACGAATGCGCGAATATTTTATAAGCCAGGCAAGGAGAATTTAGTCGCTGATGCGCTATCGCAACAAAAGCTCAATGCTCTTGACGAGCTGAATACTAATTCCTGCGCAGCCACAGTCCACAGCGAGCTGTCCTTGACCTATACAATTGAAACAACCAAAAAATTGTTTCCAAAATCAAATGTTCATTGAACAGGCACGCGTCCCCAACAAACGCAACTTCATTCTTTTCGGAGAGAGGCGTCGTGAAGTGAGCTTCGCTGATCGCACAGCTTTTCTAGATAAACTCCTTGACTTGATTAATCCAAATGCGGTTAATGACCTCTATTGCAACCTGCATACATTATCACAGTTGAGCGTGGCTTAGTTCGCATGTTTCCAGGCACAAAGTTCTGGCACTGCAAAAACCGAGTTGCAGATGTCTTCAACGTTGACGAGAGGAGAGAAATTCTCGTTGCCGAACATACTAGAGCGCATAGAGCAGGTCAAGAAAATGTTAAGCAAGTGTTATCAGAATACTATTTCCCTAAAATGGCTAAGTTGGCTAAAGAAATTGCGGAAAGTTGTAGAATCTGCTAATCAGTCAAATACGATAGGCACCAGAAAAGACAGGAGCTGGTAGAAACTTCGATCCATGAGACTCCTGGGGAATTTCTACACATTGATATATTTCCCACGGACAAACAATTTTTTTTGTCCTGTGTTGATGACGATGTTTGGTTAAGTAACCATCAGAGACAACACCGACTGCGTGCAGTAACAGCAGAAGACAACAATCATACTTGCAAACTAGAGCAAATATTGTTTGGGAGCTGTTTGTAAGCTGCTGCCCATTCTATTTCGTAGGCCCTTTGCCTTCTGCACGAATGCCCGCTGCCCACCGTTTTGAGCGCAGCTCCATTTCGTTACAAGTCATTAGTTTTTCATTTGATCGCAACCGAGGCACAACTATTTCGAGTTGGCAAACAATATTAACAATAATTGCTAATAAGTGTAAGTCGAAACACGAGGGAAGCGCATGAGCCGCAAGCGGCCGTTGTGAAAAGCACACAATAGCTTAGGTAATGTTGATCAATCTTTTGTAAATTTAGATTTTAATCCGGCTTTTACTGAGCCACATCTCAGCGACTTTGCGCATAAATTTAGCGTATCGGCCTAGTGTTTTACAAATAATAAAATAATCAAAATAAAGTCTTATAACGAAAATCCGCGAGGACTTCTTATTTAAATTTTAATTTGCGCCAAACGTTTTTCGCTTTTTGTGCTATAATTATATTGTGTGCGGTGCAGTGTAAAGAACTAATCTACCAGAACAACACACTTCGCGTTGTGTAATAGCAATACCCAACCTACCAGTGCAAGTAAAAAAGCTGTGCCTGACCTATTCTATTTACAGCACAAGCCCAACAAAAAGGCATTTGATAGCGACTTGTCACCAAGCAAGCGGGTTTGGGCAGCGAAGTAAGCCAACACCCATAGACTTCAGCGAGGGATCATAAGAAAGCATTCACGTCTGCAGCGTGGGAAGCAGTAGTTTTTAGACGTAGAGCATACTGCCCTTGTAGGATCAAAAAAATGTAAGTGGCCCATCATTTGGCACAAACTTTTTTCAATATGATTGATTTATTTCAAATAAAATCTAAAGTCTGAAATATAAAAAATTGCAATAATTGTGCTACCAACTAATTTTGAGTAACACAATTTTGCATCCATCAGCAATTTTCAATAAACTCTCCTAATTCAGCATTCATTTAATTTATTGTTGTTGATTTGCCCTTGAAATTGTGTTGTTATTATTGTTGACAGTATAGTGGATGAACAGCTCGTTTCTCAGGTATAGAGACAGCTCTGCGAGGGGATTTGAGTAAAACGACTTCAACACCTTAAATAGGGAAGCCGTCCCGCAAGAAATCGGTGACAACAGGTGTTAAATGGAAATGGAGCCTTAGCAGCTTAGGGCTTTGGTGCAGGCCGCAGTGGCCTCCGCCTTTGAAGCCGAAAGCGCAGTATTGAAGCAAAAAGATGTAGAACTGAGGGCTTCCTTAAACGCTTGGATACAAGAATTGGAAGGCAGAATATCTGCCAGTAGTATAGAAACACAGTAGTATAGAAACCACCGTCCAGGCATTTGAGCCGGTGGAAATCAGAAAGGACGTCGAATGTAATGAACCGTTGGACGCCGTTAAATGCTTACCAGAATTTACGGGGGTGCCAGAGACGTACGCCTTTTGGAGACAAGCTGCGATAGCGGCATATAAAATGTACAAGCCATACGACGGCAGCTCACGCCACTACCAGGAGGTCATTATTATTAAGAGCAAAATTAGAGGGGCATTAGAGCGACTTTTTGGATCAGTTTGGCATAGTAATGAATTTTGATGCCATAATAAGCCGTCTCGATTTAACATACAGGGATAAGAGAGGCATTAACGTCGTAGAGCAAGAGATGAGCACCCTTAGACAATTTTATGACAAGGTTGACAAAAAGCTTACTCTTCTCACCAATAAGGTCAACATGTGCTAGAAACCAAGCATGGCACAAGGGCTCTGTACGAAGATCAGAGATGGTGCGTTGCGTGATTTTGTCTCAGACCTAAGGCGTAGCCTGACAGATGTCCTGTTCGCGGCAAAGCCTAAGGGCTTACCGTCGGCCCTAGCTCTAGCGCAAGAGGTAGAGGAAAACCATGAGAGGTACGTATTTTCCGCTAGCTTCGCTCAAGGGCAAGAAGATAGGGAACGAAAAGTGACCCCGAGGCCGCAGGTCCGTCAGCAAGATAAGGGTCAACAGCTGGGGGATCCGCAACCCAGCGGTTCCAAAAATCCTCGCTTCAAAAAACACCAGAAACAGCAATAAAGTCAATTTGAGCAACAGAGTGGCAGGTGGAACATAGGACCCGCCAATTGACGTCGTCAAAAATTCTGCAACAACCGTAGGCACCAGCCTACTTTAACTTAAGCGGTCCTCAAGCCTACAAAAGAACGGCCACGTCTGGGCGTTAAAGCGGACAGAGGAGGCGGAGAGTCAATCACACACCTCACGAGCTTGACCAAGATTCAGGTTCGTATGCTAGCTCTGCAGCAGCAGCAGAACAGCAAATTGCCGACGACAATGGAAGCGGGTATGATTCAGACACTCTCAATTTTTTAGGGGAAGCTCCCTGCTGCCGTACAACAGTAGGAGAGTAGCAGTGATCCAGATGAGATTTCTCATCGACACGGGCGCTTCTAAGAAATTTATCAGGCACTTCCATATAACACATCAGTGGTGGCCACTATCAGGACCACTGATGAACAACCAGTTTATGTCCGACAGTACCCCTATCCCATGGGAGCAGCGGAATTCATTAATAAAGAGATTCAAAGCCATCTGCAGAACGGTATCTTAAAAAAATCTGTTTGCTCCTACAAAAACCCCATTTGGGTGATGAACAAGAAGGGGACGGACGAGTTTGGTGACAAGAATATGCGTCTCGTAATGGATTTTCGCAAGCTTAACGAGAAAACCATCGCAGACAGATACCCTATGCCTAACATTCCAATGATTTTGGGGAATCTTGGCAAAGCTAAATACTTTTCGACATTGGCTATCACCAGATCACGCTAGCAGAGCGTGACCGTGAAAAAACAGCCTTTGCAGTTAACTTGGGGAAGTACGAATTTCGTCGACTTTCCTTTGGGTTGAAGAATGCGGCCAGTATCTTCCAAAGAACTGTTGACGTCGTACTGCGTGAGCAATTTGGCAAATCTTGCTATGTCTATGTTGACGATGTCATCGTCTTCTCAAAAGATGAAAATTCTCATGTCCAACATTTGGAGTGGGTCCTAAAGAGCTTGTACGAGGCAAATATGAGAATCTCCAAGGAAAAATCGTGTTTTTCTAAGAAAAGCGTAGGTTTTCTTGGTTTCGTGGTAACTAGTAATGGAGCAACAACGCACCCTGAAAAAGTCAACGCGAATCAGGAGTTCCCAGTACCAAAGAATATATTCGAGATCAGATCATTTTTAGGACTGGCCAGTTACTATAGGTGTTTCATCAAAGGCTTTGCCTCAAGAGCAAAACCCATTTCTGATCTTCTCAAGGGCGAGGATGGGTCAGTAAGTAAACATAGAAGGCGAAACATCCCGGCTGAATTCTCTGAGCTACAGCGCCACGCATTCCAAAAGCTTCGAAGCATTTTGTCATTAGAAAACGTCATGGTCAGATACCCTGACCTTAAGACACCGTTTGATCTAACGCTTCAGCTTACGGCATAGGGGCAGTGCTTTCTCAAGAGGGCCATCTCAATGATTGCCAGAACATTGAAACCCCCTATATGGGGTACCTATATGGGGTAAACGACATTAACATTTTCACGTCGTGAAGTAAGCTTCGCTGATCGCACAGCTTTTCTAGATAAACTCCTTGACTTGATTAATCCAAATGCGGTTAATGACCTCTATTGCAACCTGCATACATTATCACAGCTGAGCGTGGCTTAGTTCGCATGTTTCCAGGCACAAAGTTCTGGCACTGCAAAAACCGAGTTGCAGATGTCTTCAACGTTGACGAGAGGAGAGAAATTCTCGTTGCTGAACATACTAGAGCGCATAGAGCAGCTCAAGAAAATGTTAAGCAAGTGTTATCAGAATACTATTTCCCTAAAATGGCTAAGTTGGCTAAAGAAATTGCGGAAAGTTGTAGAATCTGCTAATCAGTCAAATACGATAGGCACCAGAAAAGACAGGAGCTGGTAGAAGCTTCGATCCATGAGACTCCTGGGGAATTTCTACACATTGATATATTTCCCACGGACAAACAATTTTTTTTGTCCTGTGTTGATAAGTTCTCTAAATTTGCAGTCGCACAACCAATTCAGTCACGCACTATCGGGGACTTAAAAGCTACACTTCTGCAGCACATGAATTTCTTTTCACGAGCCGGAAAAAGAGATATGGACCACCGCAAACGTTGAGAAATGTCTACGCAAGTGAGGAAGAAGTTTTTGTCTGTGAAAAGATATCAATTTGTAACATTTCTCCCGTTAGTTGGGAGACTGACGTCTGGCCGAGCTCATTTTTCGGGTGTCTGTTGTACTTTGATTTTGTGCAAACTTTACAATTTAAGACAACTTCGTTAGAAAATTTAATGTTATTTTGGGAAAATAGTATTCCGACACGACCTGTTTCACAAGTCCCTTAGTAACTAGTATTGGAAACTAGCCAAAGCTGGAAGACAACATTTAAATGCATTAACCACGTTTGGGTTAATGACGATGTTTGGTCAAGAGACAACACCGACTGCGTGCAGTAACAGCAGAAGACAACAATCATACTTGCAAACTAGAGCAAATATTGTTTGGGAGCTGTTTGTAAGCTGCTGCCCATTCTATTTCGTAGGCCCTTTGCCTTCTGCACGAATGCCCGCTGCCCACTGTTTTGAGCGCAGCTCCATTTCGTTACAAGTCATTAGTTTTTCATTTGATCGCAACCGAGGCACAACTATTTCGAGTTGGCAAACAATATTAACAATAATTGCTAATAAGTGTAAGTCGAAACTAAGAATATTGTTCATTTGATTGCAAAAAGGCTTGCAACTACAAGTTAACAGAGCCCAAGTACACCAGCTCCAGATGCTGATATAGCACTGTGCCGAATGTTCTAACGAGTTAACAGGGGTCAGCAAAATGCAATTTAACACCAGTCACAGATGCTGACATAGCTCTGCGCCGGATGTTCTTGCACGAGGGAAGCGCATGAGCCGCAAGCGGCCGTTGTGAAAAGCACACAATAGCTTAGGTAATGTTGATCAATCTTTTGTAAATTTAGTTTTTAATCCGGCTTTTACTGAGGCACATCTCAGCGACTTTGCGCATAAATTTAGCGTATCGGCCTAGTGTTTTACAAATAATAAAATAATCAAAATAAAGTCTTGTAACGAAAATCCGCGAGGACTTCTTATTTAAATTTTAATTTGCGCCAAACGTTTTTCGCTTTTTGTGCTATAATTATATTGTGTGCGGTGCAGTGTAAAGAACTAATCTACCTGTACAACACACTTCGCGTTGTGTAATAACAATACCCAACCTACCAGTGCAAGTAAAAAAGCTGTGCCTGACCTATTCTATTTACAGCACAAGCCCAACAAAAAGGCATTTGATAGCGACTTGTCACCAAGCAAGCGGGTTTGGGCAGCGAAGTAAGCCAACACCCATAGACTTCAGCGAGGGATCATAAGAAAGCATTCACGTCTGCAGCGTGGGAAGCAGTAGTTTTTAGACGTAGAGCATACTGCCCTTGTAGGATCAAAAAAATGTAAGTGGCCCATCATTTGGCACAAACTTTTTTCAATATGATTGATTTATTTCAAATAAAATCCAAAGTCTGAAATATAAAAAATTGCAGTAATTGTGCTACCAACTAATTTTGAGTAACACAATTTTGCATCCATCAGCAATTTTCAATAAACTCTCCTAATTCAGCATTCATTTAATTTATTGTTGTTGATTTGCCCTTGAAATTGTGTTGTTATTATTGTTGACAGTATAGTGCATGAACAGCTCGTTTCTCAGGTACAGAGACAGCTCTGCGAGGGGATTTGAGTAAAACGACTTCAACGCCTTAAATAGGGAAGCCGTCCCGCAAGAAATCGGTGACAACAGGTGTAAAATGGAAATGGAGCCTTAGCAGCTTAGGGCTTTGGTGCAGGCCGCAGTGGCCTCCGCCTTTGAAGCCGAAAGCGCAGTATTGAAGCAAAGAGATGTAGAACTGAGGGCTTCCTTAAACGCTTGGATACAAGAATTGGAAGGCAGAATATCTGCCAGTAGTATAGAAACACAGTAGTATAGAAACCACCGTCCAGGCATTTGAGCCGGTGGAAATCAGAAAGGACGTCGAATGTAATGAACCGTTGGACGCCGTTAAATGCTTACCAGAATTTACGGGGGTGCTAGAGACGTACGCCTTTTGGAGACAAGCTGCGATAGCGGCATATAAAATGTACAAGCCATACGACGGCAGCTCACGCCACTACCAGGAGGTCATTATTATTAAGAGCAAAATTAGAGGGGCATTAGAGCGACTTTTTGGATCAGTTTGGCATAGTAATGAATTTTGATGCCATAATAAGTCGTCTCGATTTCACATACAGGGATAAGAGAGGCATTAACGTCGTAGAGCAAGAGATGAGCACCCTAAGACAATTTTATGACAAGGTTGACAAAAAGCTTACTCTTCTCACCAATAAGGTCAACATGTGCTAGAAACCAAGCATGGCACAAGGGCTCTGTACGAAGATCAGAGATGGTGCGTTGCGTGATTTTGTCTCAGACCTAAGGCGTAGCCTGACAGATGTCCTGTTCGCGGCAAAGCCTAAGGGCTTACCGTCGGCCCTAGCTCTAGCGCAAGAGGTAGAGGAAAACCATGAGAGGTACGTATTTGCCGCTAGCTTCGCTCAAGGGCAAGAAGATAGGGAACGAAAAGTGACCCCGAGGCCGCAGGTCCGTCAGCAAGATAAGGGTCAACAGCTGGGGGATCCGCAACCCAGCGGTTCCAAAAATCCTCGCTTCAAAAAACACCAGAAACAGCAATAAAGTCAATTTGAGCAACAGAGTGGCAGGTGTGTTCTACAACAACTGTAGGCACCAGCCTACTTTAACTCTTGCGGTCCTCAAGCCTACAAAAGTACGGCCACGTCTGGGCGCTTAAGCGGACAGAGGAGGCGGATAGTCAATCACACAGCTCACGAGCTTGACTAAGATTCAGGTTCGTATGCTAGCTCTGCAGCAGCAGCAGAACAGCAAATTGCCGACGACAATGGTAGCGGGTATGATTCAGACACTCTCAATTTTTTAGGGGAAGCTCCCTGCTGCCGTACATCAGTAGTAGCAATGATCCAGATGAGATTTCTCATCGACACGGGCGCTTCCAAGATATTTATCAGGTCATATAAAATCTAAAATGTGTGTGCCCAGTAAATTCTTCCTTCTCTACCCATTCTATACACGGCACCACAAAGATCACTCATAAGTGCCTCCTTATATCTCTGTGCGACAAAACTGCCAAATTTTTCTTACTCCCAGACCTATCCACATTTGATGGAATTGTGGGGCTCGCCTTGCTCACGCAAGCAGAAGTGTCGCTTTGTCTTTCTTCTGGCCAACTCAAATGTGGCGCAAAAACTGAACAAATCGAATTCCACAGGTGTGCGGATTTTTACTTTACCAATTTTGACTGCGCCGACGCGCCCGATGCTGCAAAATATGCATTCCTAAAGATGCTAAAAAGCAAACATAAGGCTTTCGCGGATCCGGAAGAAGCACTTCCATATAACACATCAGTGGTGGCCACTATCAAGACCACTGATGAACAACCAGTGTCGGACATAACAGTACCCCTATCCCATGGGAGCAGCGGAATTCATTAATAAAGAGATTCAAAGCCTTCTGAAGAACGGTATCTTAAAAAAATCTGTTTGCTCCTACAAAAACCCCATTTGGGTGATGAACAAGAAGGGGACGGACGAGTTTGGTGACAAGAATATGCGTCTCGTAATGGATTTTCGCAAGCTTAACGAGAAAACCATCGCAAACAGATACCCTATGCCTAACATTCCAATGATTTTGGGGAATCTTGGCAAAGCTAAATACTTTTCGACATTGGCTATCACCAGATCACGCTAGCAGAGCGTGACCGTGAAAAAACAGCCTTTGCAGTTAACTTGGGGAAGTACGAATTTCGTCGACTTTCCTTTGGGTTGAAGAATGCGGCCAGTATCTTCCAAAGAACTGTTGACGTCGTACTGCGTGAGCAATTTGGCAAATCTTGCTATGTCTATGTTGACGATGTCATCGTCTTCTCAAAAGATGAAAATTCTCATGTCCAACATTTAGAGTGGGTCCTAAAGAGGCAATTATGAGAATCTCCAAGGAAAAATCGTGTTTTTCTAAGAAAAGCGTAGGTTTTCTTGGTTTCGTGATAACTAGTAATGGAGCAACAACGCACCCTGAAAAAGTCAACGCAATTCAGGAGTTCCCAGTACCAAAGAATATATTCGAGATCAGATCATTTTTAGGACTGGCCAGTTACTATAGGTGTTTCATCAAAGGTTTTGCCTCAATAGCAAAACCCATTTCTGATCTTCTCAAGGGCGAGGATGGGTCAGTAAGTAAACATAGATGGCGAAACATCCCGGCTGAATTCTCTGAGCTACAGCGCCACGCATTCCAAAAGCTTCGCAGCATTTTGTCATTAGAAAACGTCATGGTCAGATACCCTGACTTTAAGACACCGTTTGATCTAACGCTTCAGCTTACGGCATAGGGGCAGTGCTTTCTCAAGAGGGCCATCTCAATGATTTCCAGAACATTGAAACCCCCTATATGGGGTACCTATATGGGGTAAACGACATTAACATTTTCACGGACCACCAACAGTTAACTTTTGCCATTTCTGAGTCAAACCCGAACGCCAAAATTAAAAGATGGATGACGCGCATTGAGGAAACGAATGCGCGAATATTTTATAAGCCAGGCAAGGAGAATTTAGTCGCTGATGCGCTATCGCAACAAAAGCTCAATGCTCTTGACGAGCTGAATACTAATTCCTGCGCAGCCACAGTCCACAGCGAGCTGTCCTTGACCTATACAATTGAGTCAACCAAAAAATTGTTTCCAAAATCAAATGTTCATTGAACAGGCACGCGTCCCCAACAAACGCTACTTCATTCTTTTCGGAGAGAGGCGTCGTGAAGTGAGCTTCGCTGATCGCACAGCTTTTCTAGATAAACTCCTTGACTTGATTAATCCAAATGCGGTTAATGACCTCTATTGTAACCTGCATACATTATCACAGTTGAGCGTGGCTTAGTTCGCATATTTCCAGGCACAAAGTTCTGGCACTGCAAAAACCGAGTTGCAGATGTCTTCAACGTTGAAGAGAGGAGAGAAATTCTCGTTGCCGAACATACTAGAGCGCATAGAGCAGCTCAAGCAAATGTTAAGCAAGTGTTATCAGAATACTATTTCCCTAAAATGGCTAAGTTGGCTAAAGAAATTGCGGAAAGTTGTAGAATCTGCTAATCAGTCAAATACGATAGGCACCAGAAAAGACAGGAGCTGGTAGAAACTTCGATCCATGAGACTCCTGGGGAATTTCTACACATTGATATATTTCCCACGGACAAACAATTTTTTTTGTCCTGTGTTGATAAGTTCTCTAAATTTGCAGTCGCACAACCAATTCAGTCACGCACTATCGGGGACTTAAAAGCTACACTTCTGCAGCACATGAATTTCTTTCCACGAGCCGGAAAAAGAGATATGGACCACCGCAAACGTTGAGAAATGTCTACGCAAGTGAGGAAGAAGTTTTTGTCTGTGAAAAAATATCAATTTGTAACATTTCTCCCGTTAGTTGGGAGACTGACGTCTGGCCGAGCTCATTTTTCGGGTGTCTGTTGTACTTTGATTTTGTGCAAACTTTACAATTTAAGACAACTTCGTTAGAAAATTTAATGTTATTTTGGGAAAATAGTATTCCGACACGACCTGTTTCACAAGTCCCTTAGTAACTCGTATTGGAAACTAGCCAAAGCTGGAAGACAACATTTAAATGCATTAACCACGTTTGGGTTAATGACGATGTTTGGTCAAGTAACCATCAGAGACAACACCGACTGCGTGCAGTAACAGCAGAAGACAACATTCATACTTGCAAACTAGAGCAAATATTGTTTGGGAGCTGTTTGTAAGCTGCTGCCCATTCTATTTCGTAGGCTCTTTGCCTTCTGCACGAATGACCGCTGCCCACCGTTTTGAGCGCAGCTCCATTTCGTTACAAGTCATTAGTTTTTCATTTGATCGCAACCGAGGCACAACTATTTCGAGTTGGCAAACAATATTAACAATAATTGCTAATAAGTGTAAGTCGAAACAAAGAATATTGTTCATTTGATTGCAAAAAGGCTTGCAACTACAAGTTAACAGAGCCCTAGTACACCAGCTCCAGATGCTGATATAGCACTGTGCCGAATGTTCTAACGAGTTAACAGGGGTCAGCAAAATGCAATTTAACACCAGCCACAGATGCTGACATAGCTCTGCGCCGGATGTTCTTGCACGAGGGAAGCGCATGAGCCGCAAGCGGCCGTTGTGAAAAGCACACAATAGCTTAGGTAATGTTGATCAATCTTTTGTAAATTTAGTTTTAATCCGGCTTTTATTGAGGCACATCTCAGCGACTTTGCGCATAAATTTAGCGTATCGGCCTAGTGTTTTACAAATAATAAAATAATCAAAATAAGGTCTTATAACGAAAATCCGCGAGGACTACTTATTTAAATTTTAATTTGCGCCAAACGTTTTTCGCTTTTTGTGCTATAATTATATTGTGTGCGGTGCAGTGTAAAGAACTAATCTACCTGTACAACACACTTCGCGTTGTGTAATAGCAATACCCAACCTACCAGTG